GGGCGGCGGGCCGGCCCGAGGGCGCCTCCTCCTGGCCGCGCTGGTGCTCCTGTGGGCGCAGGGGGCCCGGGGCCAGGGCAGACCCCAGCGGGGCGCGATCCTGGGCATGAGGCTGGCGAGCTGCAACAAGTCGTGTGGGGTGGACACGGATGGCATCATCTTCGTGTCCGAGGGCAGCGCGGTGAATCTGAGGCTGTACGGCCAGAGCCTGAGCGACATGTCTAGCAACCTGATCTCCTTCACCGAGGTGGACGACGCCGAGAACGCCCACAACTCCACCACCTGCCCAGAGCTCACCAAGGACCTGGTCGTCCGGCGGCTGGTCAACGTGAGTCGCGGGAACACGTCCGGGCTGCTCGAGGTGTTCACCAAGTTCCTGCGGAGGAGCGAGAACAAGAAGCTGTACGCGCTCTGCACCCGGGCTCAGGCCGATGGGCCCTGGGTCAGGTGGGCCGACAAGGACTCGCTGCTCATCATGAGGGAGGAGCAAGGGAAGCTCTTGCCCTTCTGGCTGCACATCCTCCTGGTCATGGTGTTGCTGGTGCTGTCGGGCATATTCTCGGGCCTGAACCTGGGGCTCATGGCCCTGGACCCCATGGAGCTTCGCATAGTGCAGAACTGTGGCACTGAAAAGGAGAGGAAGTATGCCCGCAAGATCTTGCCCATCCGGCGCAAGGGCAACTACCTCCTCTGCTCCCTGCTGCTGGGGAATGTGCTAGTCAACACCTCCCTCACCATCCTCTTGGACAACCTCATCGGGTCCGGCCTCATGGCGGTGGCCTCCTCCACCATTGGCATTGTCATTTTTGGGGAGATCGTACCGCAGGCGCTGTGCTCCCGACACGGGCTGGCTGTGGGTGCCAACACCATAGTCCTCACCAAATTCTTCATGCTGCTCACCTTCCCCCTCAGTTTCCCCATCAGCAAGCTCCTGGATTTTGTCCTGGGCCAGGAGATCCGCACTGTGTACAATCGGGAGAAGTTGATGGAGATGTTGAAGGTGACAGAGCCCTACAATGACCTGGTAAAAGAGGAGCTGAATATGATCCAGGGGGCCTTGGAACTAAGGACCAAAACGGTGGAGGATATCATGACCCAGCTTCATGACTGCTTCATGATCCGCAACGATGCCATCCTGGACTTCAACACCATGTCGGAGATCATGGAGAGCGGCTACACGCGCATTCCTGTGTTCGAAGGCGAGCGCTCCAACATCGTGGATATCCTGTACGTCAAAGACTTGGCCTTCGTGGACCCTGATGACTGCACCCCCCTCAAGACCATCACCCGCTTCTACAACCACCCGGTGCACTTCGTCTTCCACGACACCAAGCTGGACGCCATGCTGGAGGAGTTTAAGAAGGGTAAGGGCCATGCAGTTTGCTGGTCACAGTGTCTGTGGCACCTCCCGTTCTCCCGTTCTCCTGTGTGTTTCTCCTCTGCAGGTTTTAGCGTTTGTGTTGCACTGACCCTTTACCCATCACTTCCTTCCCTTCTGAGGTGATTGGTACCAGGCACAGTTCTTAAGTGTCTGCCAACTTCCAGTCCTGTGCTTTGTGCTCCACGTGAATTAAAGTGGGAAAAGACACACTTGCCCGCTTTTGGGGACAGAGCAAGACCTCAGGGAGCAGGACAGAGCAAGGCCAGCAACGAAAAGAGGTCAATGGGGAAGGCATTGGGCAGTGGTGCAAACGTTTACAGGGAGGGGGCATTTGGGGAGAGTCCTGAAAGATGGAGTGCTTTGGCACTTGAGGCAGAATGAACCACACAACCTGCATGGGGAGAAGCCACAGATGTGCTTGGGGGACAGGTGGTGTGGATGGTACATTGGCCCCGCTGATCAGGTGGGGGAGAGAGGCAGGAGTGCCCGGGCCCTGGGTGGACAGTGAATTCGTTCTTTCCAAGCTTGGAACCCTGGAAGGTTTTCGAGCTAGGGAGTGACGTCATAGGAGCGCTGAGCCCACAGAAGCAAAACAGGGAGGTCTCCGAACAATGCCAAGTAATGCATTCCGCTGTTCAGCAGAAGCGAGCAGATTAAGTTCGGTGATTGTTCTGTCTTTCCCAGGCGCCAGACATAAGCCTGCCCCTGTGGTCCGTGGGAGCCGCGCTGGCCTTGCGCTGCCACATGCTCGCCTCTCATGAGTGTTCCTGGCTGTTTCTCAGGTGGTTGGAGGCCTATAGAGGGTTCACTCCACCCGCAGCCTCAAAGCCCTGGGCACGCATCCTTCCCTTCCTTCTGACCAAACTTTCCTCCCACCTCTGCCACCCAGAAGCCCTGAGTGCAGTAAACAAACCAATTATGGAGGAAAACCCTCCTGGGCTGCAGGAGGTGAGGAGGCAGATGGGGCTGGGTGGGGTGGGGGTCTCTTTAGAAAGGAATGGGGAGGTGGGGCCCTGGCTTCTTCAGCTCAGTCCCCATCTTCTTTCTGTGGAAGAGCTGCTCAGGCTGAGGCCCAGGCAGAAGCCACTTTTCTTTCCGTAATACTGGGGATTGAACCCAGGGCCTTCACACTGAGCTACATTTTATTTTGAGACAGAGAGTCTGTCTAAGCCAATAAATTTCCCAGGCTAGGTGGGCTCAAATTTGCTGTCTTCCTCCCTCAGCCTCCTAGAGTGCTGGAGTTGCAGGTGTGCACACCAGCACCACCCTTTGGACTCTAGGTTGGAGCAAGCCCGGGTTGTTCCTGGACCAGAGAGTAAAGAACAGCCTTGGAGTGGCTTAGGTAGGGAGGATTCGGTTTGGTCTGAAAAGATGCTTAGGTCTGGGTCAGGGCAAGCATGGTAGGTTATACCCTTCCTTGGGAAGTTTGCCAGACTGGATCTAAGCACCAGAACCGAGGGGGACCCGAGGACTGTAAGCTGGATGGAGGCCTCTCTGGGGAGATTGGTGAGGCACACCTGGTGGTGCTGCGGAAGGAGCTTGGGGACAAACACCCCGGAGTTCGGTCCTCCCTGGCCCGCCCAGCTGGGGCAGAGGAATAGTGAGGAGCATGCCGCCCTCAGCCGCATCCCAGGACTCCTCTCCCAGTTTCCTGGTTGGGAGCCAGCTGAGGACTCCCAGAGCAGCCTCCTCCTTGCCCGCCTCTGTGGTCTTGGAACGTGGTGAGTGTCACACCCGCCAGCCCAAAGGGATCCGGATCCACCCAGTGTGGACTGGCCCCGCCCAGTATGGGCGGGAGTGTCCTGGGGCTCCACAGGGCCATCCTTGGACGGTCTGGTAAAGGAGCACCTTTTCGTTGAGCTGGGAGAATAGCTTGCATTGCTGAGGCTAGAGCTCTATTGAGCCCAAATCTCCTGACTCACCTTGAAGTCTGGAGCCTGGGGGATGCTGGGTCCTGCTGGGGATGCTCTTGGGTTGAGCCGAGCCCCACAAGGGCGCCAGCAGTCCCTGGAAAAGCAGCCATGGTTGGCCTGAGGCCATCCTTTTCAGCTTCCCAGAGGTTTTGGGAGTTATAAATTGCCACACCAGATTCCTCCCAGGTGGTCTTTCCCAGGTCTTTCCATCTGGCATCTACCTGTATTCTGAGACTGCCCAGATTGAGGCAAGCACCTTGGATATAGCTGCAACTTAAAAGATTTTATTTGCAAGTTTTGCTGTTGTCACTGTTGTTTTGAGTCAAGGTCTTCCTGTGTAGTTCAGGCTGGCCTTGAACTCAGTATGTAGCCCAGGCTGCTCTCAAATTCACAGTGATCCTCCTGACTGAGCCTCTTGATCTTTACAGGTTTAGTGTTTGGAAGGCTTCCTTTTTTGTTAAGAAAAAACAGTTGAGCAAGGTCAGTACAGCCAGTGTGGTCAGCAACAAGCACCAAAATCGGAGCTGGGGTCCACCCTGGAACCTTACCTCCAGGTTGGCTAAGGGCTCTGAGCCTGGCTCTGCCAGAGCCCTTCTGCCAGGCTATGGTTTCTCTTTTAGGGCCCTTTTATCTTTTGTCCCTGGCCAGCATGATGAGCTCCCGAGAGTGGGAGTGCTGCCTTGTGCTCTCAGGACTGAGTTCCTGGCAGAGATGGGTCCTCCGGAAATGTGTGCGAACAGGTGAATGGACAGCAGGCGAGTGGTGACTCTCCGGCTAGCCCTGCGGCTGTGCTCTTCCTCAGCACAGCAGGACATGCCCACCCTGGGGCCCTAGCCGACCTCTACCCCAGAAGTCAGGGGGCTCACGCTCTGTACTTGCTTCAGGGTCACCTCTGGGAAGCCTTCCCATCACCCCATTTAAAACTGCTGGGAGTACAGGTACAGGGGGGATCCCAGCAGTCTGGGAGACAAAGGCAGGAGGATGGAAAGTTGAAGCCCAGCCTGGGCAATTTAGAAAACTAATGAGACCATGCCTCAGAATAAAGAATAAAAAGGGTCAGGGGGTGCAGCTCAGCATGAAGGCCCTGGGTTCAATCCCTAGGGCTACCAGAAAAAGAAAGAAAAGAAATGTGACTTTAAAAAAGACAATCCTCCATCTTCCCTTCCACTTGACTGTCCCCATCTTCCTGGCCCTGTGCTCATTTCTCATGTCCCTGAAGCCTGTCTAACTCGCCAGCTTCTGTGGACTTTGCTAACTGGCTGTGTTGCCATCTCTTCCCTCCCACCAGGAGCTCTGTTCCAAGGCTTCATTCTGTTTAGGGAAGCCTCTGTAGCCCCCCATCTGCTCTGGGCACACAGTGAGGCCTCAGTAAATGTCACTGGTGAATTAATGAAAAAATGACCTTTCCGCTAGGGAGCGAACTGTTCCCGTCCCAGGAGTGGCAGCACCTCGAGGAGCCCACAAGGGTGGACGCTGTGTGTAATTGGTAGAGCCCGGCATGCACGTGTGTTCAGGATCCAGAGCGCCCTGCTCGGGTCTCCTTCCCTGTGCCTCAGTCTCCCTGCCATGCAGTCTTTGGCCTCCCTCACTCAGGGGTGAGCTTCCCCCAGGACAAGGCAGGAACCAGAGCCCTGAGCTGCGCTGCCTGCTGACTCCATGTAATGAGCCTTAGGTGTTTTTTTGTTTTTTTTTTTTTGGTTTTGGTTTTTCTCCGGTACCGGGAACCGAACTCACGACCTTGCGCTTGCAAGGCAGGCGCTTTGCCGCTGAGCTAAATCCCCAGCCCCTTAGCCTTAGGTGTTAATTGAGCCCTGTGCCATGCGCAGGAGGACATCATGCCCGGTGCCACGGGACCTCAGGAGCCAGGGACGTGCCAGCTTAGCAGAAGCTCCTGTGGTCTGAACCTTGCCCTTCCGCCGGCACCACGCCTGCGGCTGTTTGTACGCGGGGCGTGGGGAGTGGGCTCACCTGCAGCTCGGGTCCGGAGCGATGGTGCCCAGCTCGCCCAGCCCACTTCGCCTTTGCCTCTACTTCTCATGCCTTTGCGGACCCTGAAGTGGGGTCACAATGAGCTCCCCTCTTGGACGCTGTGGTCCTAGAGGTTGGGCCCCAAGCCCTGGATAGAACTCACTGTCCAGCTCTTCTGAGACCCCTCCTTTGGGGCATTCCTGCCCCTCCCTGGACCTTAGCTTATCCCCAGCTAGTTTATCTTTTCCTACCCACCTTATATCCGTGGACACCCCACCCCAGCTAGAGCGGGGTTTAAATTCCACCCAGCTTGGTCATTGACCTAGGAGGTGACCTTGGCCCTGTTACTGCTCTTCTTAGCAAGCTTGTGGGATATCATTTGGAGGGGACAGAAGGCCAGAAATATTTTTATTGAAAACTCCTCCCGGCTGGGTGTGGTGGAACATGCATATAATTCCAGCACTCAAGGAGGCTGAGGCAAGAGGCTCTAAAGTTCAAGCCCAGCCTGGGCAATTTAGCCACCCAAAACCCTGTTCAAAGTTTTCAGAGTGGTAATTATTTTAAAAAGGGGCTGGGTATGTAGCTCAGTGCCAAGTCCTGAGATCAACTCCTAGTTTCAAAAACAAAACAAAAAAAACCCTCCCAAACTGCGCATGGTGGCACATGCCTATAAATATCAGCACTCTGGGAAGATGAGGCAGGAGGATTTCAAATTCAGTCTCAGCCTGAGCAATTTAGTTGCTTAGTGAGACCCTGTCTCAGAAAACAAACAGAAAAACCCTCCACATTGCCGTCTGCGTCATGTCAGATTTTTCTGCGTACCTCACTCTGTAAAGTCAAGGAAAACACACTGCGCGGTTTTCCCATGAGATTCTGGTTCCTGGCACTTCAGCCCCCGCCACTGGCGCTTCTGCCCCCACCCACCTGTCTCCTCATTCCTTTGTTCAACAAATGACTGAACCACTGGCTGCCTGTGTGTCAGACACTGCTGTCTATTGGGAATAAAATGATCCCATTCACAGACTCACAGCCTGCCAGGGCGATGCGGGGGCCACAGTGGGCCCAGGCAGGACGAGGTGTGGAAGTCAGGGCCAGGAAGTGG